ACGGCTCTGAGTAGGTGGGCAGTATTGTTATGAAGAAGAAATAATAGGAAATGGTATATGAAAGATTTGTAGAAGGGAAATTATTCTGATTGGGGAAGCACTGTTTTTTTTTTTTTGCCTCCCTATGACGGTGCCTCTGATTGACTGGTAGTTGTAATGAACAGCATTACCGATTCTTTGGCAAGTAACACAATTTACACATATGCATTGTGACTGTGAATTTTATCTGTTGTCCTTAACTTCAGCTTTTTGTTTCCCTATTAGCTCCTAGACTGGACTAACTAGCTTGAAATTTAGATTTATTTGTCCACTGCATGTCTATAAACGACTCTACTGACACTTCTCATAGTCCTAGTATTTCTTAGAAATGTGTCTGCAGCTCCACCCATGGCACTAAAGTGACTTTAAATGAATGTACCTTAGTAAACTGACCAGTGTTCATTTAAGTTCACCATAAAAATAATAACTAATCGTGATACGGGGAATTCCTTTTCATTGCATTAAAATGCTGCTTTAAGCTCCAGTAGATCTGCAGGAATGATACTGCTTCCTAATTGTGACAATTGTTGTCATGTAGCAAGTGAGAGAACCATAATGTGTGCTGAGAAGCTTGTCTTATTCTGCCCCCAGAGGGTACAATTTCAGAAACAATCTCACCTTCATGTATGGCCCGAATGGTCCTGTCCATACATACTCTACTTCTATCATCAACAGTCTTTAGTAATGTCCATTCAGCTAGTCACTGAATGGTGAATGCACTACTAAAGGGATCTGCATTCCCAAGTCTCATCATTATAGCTTAACAGTGGCACATAAACAGTTGTAGACATGAATTAACTATAAGGTGCATCTTTAGAGGTCCTCTTCCTCATCTACACTCATGATGCTCTTTTGTGAAGGTGCTGAAGCTATTCTGATGAAGACTGGTTTTCACTCTCTTTTCTCTCTGTCTTCTATTGCAGAACCAGACTCGGACAACCTCCTTCTCCAGATTGAGAGCTTCAGCCATCCTCATGATCTCTTGGGATGATGGTTTGCTTTGTTCTCCAAAATTTGATTCCAGAGCTTCTTTTGCAGCTATGCTGTTCAGGTTAAAATGAATGCATACGATTTTTAAACTTCAGAAAGGTAAGTAATTACAGGCCTCATGTACAAAAATAGCAAGAAAAGTAATATTGAGCTATTGCTGACAGCAATCAATCAGATAATTGACTTCATGTTCTAAATTAAATAGAAAATCTTGTGTGGTTGAATTGGTGGATATATCTAGCACATTGGTTTCTTTTCCAGTATTTGGATACTAATACTGGTTTTTTTTATGGCAGCCCCTGACACCAAAGTTGGAAGTTATAATTGTGGGCCACTGACACTAACATTGGGGCCCACCTCACAGTTGCATTGCATGAGAATGTCCCACAGGACATTCAGTCAAGTCAGTAGAGACTCGAACACACCAGCACTGGGTGGTGATGGTGGAGCCCCTAATAATCACTAGGAGTGTGAAAACAACAACAGCGATTTGAATGTTTTAGATTTGCAGTTTGAAATTCCTGTGCTCCTTGGTTCCATCCAGTGGCCATAAAGCACTGTGAATCCGGAACTCAGATGTTCACAGAGCTGTTCACGCTGTGAACATTTTATAAATACAGTAAACTCCCCATTATCCCGCATCCAGTGGGATTTGCAGATTCCGATAATTTTAGTTTCTGGTTGATTGAGAGTTACTATTAAAAAAAAAAAACTAACTAATGTCATACCCCATACTATACCATATCATAAGATAAACTCTATATTGACATCATATTAATATTGAAATGCAGTAATCAAAAACAAATTAAGACAAATAGACACACAATCATTACGAGGATAATACATGCCACAGATCAGCAAAACAGTACAGTACACAGTGGATTCTTTTTTTCTGGTTCGACAAGAGTTTTGGTTAGTTGAATAACAGATAACTGAGAGTTTACTGTATATCCAAAATATATTAAAATATACCCTATAAATAATCACAAACACAGATCAAATGAAATACAGGCAAAATAGAGCAGAAAGTCAGACCCACAGAGCAGCCCTGAGACTGAAACACCACCACTTCACATCAAAGGGCAAATGCAGTGACTTTGCAATTGTTAAAGATGGTAAACCCCTTTTAACCAGGTAATATATACTATGGGGCACGTAACCATATTATGAAATATGAAACCCAGATCTAAGGCAATAAATACTGACCTGTCTCTTGTGCTATTGATTAACCTCATTAAAGGAGAGCTATGAGGTAAGTGATTTTCACTCAACCTCATAGTTCGAGCCAACGTGTGACAATGAAAATGTCACACGTCGGCTCAATAGATCGGGAAGTGAGCGAACACATACCGTCACTCCCTCACTTCTCGATCCTGTCCCTGCAGAGAGCCGTGACTGTCACTCATGGCTCCCTGCAGGGATTCCCCCCCTCCCTGCTCCGATCCTCCAGCAGCTCTTCCTCTAAATCACAACGGCTGTGGTGGTCTCAGTATACCGCAAGCTGTAGCATGCGATATACTGAGCTTTGGGTCATGGGAGGACACTAGTATATGTCCTCCCATGACCCCGAGGAGAAACACTTACCCCATAGTTCTCCTTTAAGTATAAATATTATTGACATTATGGAATTCTATTTCCATTTATTTATTTTTTACATCGGCCCCATTGCGATTTTTTTTAATTACATTGTATATGAATATACATGCTTAATAAATTGTACTCACAACTTTGAAATGCTTTTCCATCCAATAAATTTGTTTTAGCATTAGAGCCGTATATAGGGGGACCTGTCTAACATGAGATGCTAGAGGAAGTGAGATCTCTGATAAATCTTTTTGAAATATTATAAAAAGCCATATTCGTGGTAAATAATGTGTTGCCAGATATAATAACATGGATTTTGTATATAAAGAAGTGAGAAATGTAACATATTAATTTGCAGTTGGCTTATTTGTACTCAGTTGATAAAAATGTTTTTAAATAAACAAGCATACAATTTATTGCTACCTTATAGTTGTTCTGCGTTTTCTTTTACGTTCATTTCCTCCAATTTTTTCATTGTACAATGCTGTTTAGAAACAACACAAAATGTTATGTTCAGTGTTTTACGTTTGAAGCTCAGCAAATGATCCTAATGGAATCTAGATTTTGCTAGTGCTGAGATGGTATGGGAGGACTAATATTGAATCATCACAATGCTTTTACTATCACTGTACTTGCTGTGTAAGAATAGGGAGTAGCCCTCCAACAACTGGTAATGGAAGAAGGTAGAGACTGCCTTCTCACCATCCAGGTTCAGCTAGCTAGATGTCAAGCATTCCAATTTCATATATAAATAGAGGAGAGACTACTACTGGCCATACACTTGACAATTTTTTGAATCAGGTGTTGATAAAAAATATGCATGCAGTTGAATGACCCACAAAACGTACCTACTCATTTCGATCGTTTCCCAGTTTTGATGCTAAATGATCAAAAATGAAGTGGACATTTTCTAAAATGCTATTCACTTGGCATGACTAGATTGCAAGTTCGCATGGGCAGGGACCCTTTACAATCTTTTATTTATATTGTAAATGTAATGTCTTCCTTTTATTGTAAATCACTGTGCAAATTGTTGGTGCTATATAAATGATAATAATAATGACAGTGGTTTGCCATGGATTTCCACTACAGTCCTCTAGTCATTTAATACTGAATTAAAAAAAACCAAGCACCATACTGGAGAGGGAGATAGCAGTGTTGCATTTCTTGAAGCATTATCTCTATCCACAGGAATATGCAGTTGTTATCATACCTCCAACTTGCTCTGCTTCTTCCAGCCATTTTGACAAGATTGATTTTAATTTGCAGGCATTCTTAAAACTCAGCTGTAAGTTTTCAAAGCGGCAAATGGTTGTCTGGCTGAATTCTGAACCATGTACAGCAGCAAGAGCTTCCCCAACATTTGTCTGAGTATAACCTGCTTGAAATTAATAAACAAATGTATGTGTCAGCAAAGCTTGTCTTATTAATGGTACATTCACGTCATACTAATTAGACTAGGCTTCACATATGCCTAACGTTTTGCTTACTTTTGAATTAATTAGAAGCCAGTGTCTTCTCTTTTTTTTTTAAAGCCGATTAAGGTCACTAGGTTTCCAAGCAGAAGACAATAACATTGAAGATGTCATATGCGGGAAAGTATATGCTGCTTTATTCTAAACAGGCTGTAATGTAAACACATAGCTGATAAATAAGGGTAAAGAACAGTTATGCTTGGTCAATGTTTCCACATGTGTTCAGGGGCAACTGATACCCCTCACAGTAGCATTGCATTTCAACCTTATTTCTTTGTTTGTTGTCTATCATCAAGAGGCCTTAAAGTTCCTGATGTATTCTCCTCACCAGTCTACCTTTTCTTATTGCTGCCTGTGCCCCTTCTGGCGAGATATGCTCTCTCTTTTTGTCCCGGTGCCCATTGCCAGTTTACCACCAACACAGAAAATTATGTTATATCCAAAAATTTACAGTTGTCACCAAAACAGAAGGTCAGAGAGAAGGACACACTTTATTACAAACCCATTGTTGTGACCACCACAATGGAAAACCTAAATGTTAACTTTTCCAGAAAAATACATTATGTCATCCATTTTGGGTTCCAGTGAGGCTCCCCGTCTCTGATCTGGTCTATCAATGTAACTAATGTAACTTAACCCTTCCCACCCACAGTCTGTTAATTACCTTTCCCAAGCACAATTGCTGTTTCAGAAATAACGTAATAATTGCCCTCGCCTTTGAGAGTCAACAGCCAACACTTTGTGCAGCTGCTGACTCTCAATTGCAGCTGACAGCTAGGGTCCCAAGTCAAAGTGGTATCCAATCATGTAAACACATGTGTTACCCCTCGGACTGTACACTGCACTGCAGCCCTGCAGTTTGTATGTTAGCTGTATGCTGTTTTGTTTTTTTTAAATGGCAGAATGGTGAACATGGTGTTATGGAGTGCCAAACACAGTAGTCACAACTGTAAAGACTGCCAGCACTTACCAGACTCAAGGTGAGTGGAGGGGGTGGTTAATAAATGTTATTTTGGAAATAATTTTTCAACCGTTTTAAATCCACCTCTGTAGTGTCTGTATAATAACACCTTCACCTCCCTTATCTTGCATACTAACCCTCTCCCCTCCTTCTCTCTCTGGGTTTGATCTATATATCAATGATGTACTGTATATCGTACACCTTTACCAAAGTCATGTTTTAACCACCTCAATGCCAGCATGTTTTTTACATTTCCAAAATGTTGTGGTTAGTACTGTCCTGGTAATTTTATTCAATATGTTATATAACAAAAGGTAAGGGAAATAGGTTTTCTCAACATGTATGGTCTTTTTTTTATTTTATATAGCAAAGAAATTTAAAAAAATAATACCACCAAAAGTTCAGTCTCAAAAAAAATGCAAAAAATAATAATAATACAAAATGTATTTGGGTGCAGTGTTGCATAATTAAGTAATTGTCAGTCAAACCATCACAGTGCTGAAAACTCAAGAATGGCCTGGTGATGAAGAGATATATACAGGCTGGTGATAGAGTTCTTGTCAAGAAGTTCTTGAATTATTGTCAAGTTAACCGATCCTGCTAAATTTGGCCTTGGCATCTAGACATGTAGCATGCTATTTAACTGTCCCTCTAAATGGAGTATTAGAAACAAGCACACAATAGTAAATCTCAATATCCATACCCAGTTTAATTCTTCTCACTTTGAATTCATTAGCAAACTTTTCCAGTTCTCGGATCTCTGGGGAGTCCATATCAATAGGTTCCTCGATGGGTTTACTCTTTCTTCTAAACTCCTGCTTAAAATCTGAGGTGGTGACCTCCTCTCCCAGGAGAGTCTGATGAATTGGGGCAAAACCATGACCCAATGTGCAAGAGCTAGCGCTCATGAGACATGGTGGCAGACTCCCTGTATGGACTCCTGTGGAATGTAGAAGGACACAAGGTTTCATAGAACTGCTGCATTTTATATAACAACCATTTATAAGGTTGGTCCACACAAAACTACATTTTTGTTTTAGGGAGAACATTTTGATGTGAATTGCCCACAAGCTTCTTAAAACTCTCAAGGGCTTTGCAGGTTAAATCTCTGCATCATAGTTTCCAACTTGTTCCGTGTACATTAATGGAGGTCAAAAACACCTTAATATTTTTTATTTATTTCAAATTTACATAGAATGCAGCAGGAGTAGTGAGAGCTCCATCTCTGCAGCAAGAGGAGTAAGAGTTCCTGAAAGATAAAAGCAGCTGGTGAGTAATTCAGCTCCCTAGTATCTAGCAAAAATTTAAATATATCAGCTATGTGTACAATGACCCTCGAAACAAGTTCATGCAAAAAAATTAAGTATTGTAGTTGAGGGGGGATTTCCCACATTTCCCACAGCCATAAGTACTGGGAATTTTATCCGGTATGTTTGACAGCAGATTTAGGCAGTGGGGGAGTTTGGAGATGTTTAGTACTATTGTGGACCCTCCTTTAAATTGAACCACATACTTTGGCTAGTACAGCCAAAATATAGGTTCTCTTAAAAAATATTGACTATTGCCATATTTTTTTAAATCAGTACAAGATACAAATCCATCTATCTATCTATCTATCTATCTATCTATCTATCTATCTATCTATCTATCTATCTATCTATCTATCTATCTATCTATCTATCTATCTATCTA